GGGGCAGGGCGCGGGGGCGAGGCCGAGGAAGGGCCAGAAGCGGGGTAGGCGAGATATGAGAGGTGGTAAAGAAGAAGAAGAAGAAGAAGAAGAAGAAGAGAAGGGTTTTAGAAGGTGGAAGCAGCAGGGCACGATAAGCTTGAAATAGTGTTCGGAGAGAAGGGTTTCGTACACTTAACATGGAATTTCAGTATTATTACTGTGATACACGACTATTGTTGTATCATTTCAGTTTGCATAACATATAGAAATTGATTTTCTGTATAAGTGTATTTGGATAAAGGTAGTTTAGAGCTCTCAGTATCTTCTAATACACAAAAATTAGAAGTGTTTTGTAAGTATTTTTTATTGTTCTCTTCTTTCACCATAATTTCTAACTGAGCAAATGACCCTTATCTTATTTATTATCGTGAAATGTAATAGGAAGCTCAAAAAAATGGATTGATGATTTTAAAATATTTAAAATATCTCTACACATTCACATTTTTACTACAATTCACGGAAATTAATTTCCAAATAAAAATGTTGAATTAAGGAGAAGCAACAGATATGTTTACACTGAAAAAGAACTATATGTTGACAGTTCTGTAATTGATACGCACGTGCACGACATGAAGTCCCATATTTCTTGTTACCAAATATACTAATTTTTGTTTCTGAAAATTACATACTATAAAGTAAAATGCAATTTTTTCTTAACAACAGTAAATTATGAATTACTGTGTGCTTTCTTTTAAATTATCTGAATATTATTTCACTCAATCAATTTTTGCTCTCGCGTTTGCCAAAGACCTTTCCCGAAGCCTGTTTTATCATAAATTCATAAAAAACGAAATTCCCTCTCATTTTCTACCAATATCTGATAAACAATTGCCATATTATTTCTAATACAAAACAGAAAATGTCGCAAATTAAATTACTAAAGTAATGGTTATTGTCAAGGAATTTTGGTTAGGTGAACATTTCACTTGTTTGAATGTTTAAAAAATGAAAACTCACATATTTCACTTGAAAACCATAATTTATTTATTGTAAGTAATTTAATTCACAATTATAAAACTTTTTATTGCAGTGGTTATGAAATGCTTATTGATATGATCAGCCATTATGTAATCTTTATATTTTACTGGCATGACATTTGAACATTTTTCCTAATACAGTTATCTTTAAATGTTAATAATTGCAATATTAATAGTTTATAACATTTTAGGACAGTAATTGCACAGTATTTCTAACGCCAATTCCCGTTAAGATGACGTATTTCCTTCTCTAATTTCGTTTATAGTTCTTACACTTTGCTGGTCTGCTACAATATGTTTCGTTTAATAAGAATTAAAGCCTTTTCTAAGTACTTCTGGTCATCATCATCTTAGTGAGATTGCTTTTTAAAGTAGCACGCGTTGTCTTCAAAGTAATGCGTGTATTTTGGCTTATAAATGTCATCCAGCTCTAACTCGAAATCGTTGAAAATCCTTAGAGGGCACGCGCAAATTTCCACGGTGTCGTTTTCGAAATAACAGAACCTGAGAGTCTTGATGTTGGAGGGGGTACCTCCAGCTGCTTCGCAGCTCACGTACAGTCCGTCGCTTTCGGAGCTCTCCGACTGCGCCGAGGAGTAGGCAGAGAACGCCGAGGAGAATGCCGTTGACGTCACGTCGCCAGGCAAGACAACAGACGCCTCTGACGACTCGCCCTTAGAACTAGCATCAGATGAGGTATTGGTTTTATCTACAGATGATTCCGACGATTTGCTCTTCTCTGTTGTGGGTCCTTCTTCCTTTGCGGGAACTTCTTCGGTGACCACTGCCTCATCAACAGCTGTTGTTTCATTTGCGCCTGATGACTCTTCCGCAGCTGATTTCGCCTTTCCTGCATCTTCTGGTTCTGGTTTTGCCTCATCTACCACTGAAGTTGGAGTTGCGACTGTTTCGTCAGGAACTGGACCTACCATAGGTGAGACTGGATCATCTCCGTCAGACGTTGTACCTGAAGATGCCGCTGCCTCCGTCGATTTGCTTGTCCATCGCTCTCTCCATTGTTCACGAGCCGCTACTTCCGGGTTAGGCTTGGCTTTGCACGTCGGAGTACAGAGAGCCAGACTGAAAAAGCAGGCGAGGACGAAAACTGGAAGTTTCACTGATGCCTTCATTGCGATGCCTCTTCCTGTCACAAACAAGTTCTCTTGAAAAGGATCCAGTAAGATCGGAAATCCTGGAGTGAGGAGCAAGCTGCGCAGCGGCTGTTGATATACGCGACGCACTCCAGGGTCGAATGATATTCTCGGCGTCGCGGAACGTGGTGTATCAGGAGTTCGCGTTTTCCTCGGCTGCGAAGGTCATCGGTGGGACACCTTTTACGCAGGTCGGTGATGAACACGTCATCTACTCTCTTTCATGACGCTCGGACGCACATCGAGTGCGTGACAGCCGCTAGTAGAGATATGGTATGCCGTTTGGCATTCGCACGCACGATTTGAATGTGTCACTCTATTTCATAGTGAGTAATTTGTCACTAATCCCAGACATCTGTCCATCACGCGTTATTTGCGGAATGAATGTTATAAATGAATGCAATTTCACAAGAAAGGTCACTAGTGTATAGAGTTTCAAAGAGCGTATATTTTAAACAAGGAGCTGGAGCAACATGCATGTGTAGTAAGTAAAAATTAAAATCCGAAAAGAGAAATTATGTTGTAAACTGTCATATTTTCACTTACTTGTATACGTACGTATGTATGGAGTAACATAGTAGTAAAGAGGCGTTACATAACAAAAAATCGATTCGGATAATTTTGCGGACGAAATTTTACGCTTTAGGGTACCCTAATATTGAAAAAGTGTTTTTTTATTTTTATTTTTTAACGTTCGTCTATCTGTTCGTGTGTCCATCTATGAACAATACTAGCGCCTAAACTACTACCAGAGACCATTCGTGTGTCCAAGGCACAGGTGCCGGTGTTTCGGCCGCCATTCTGCGACCTTCGTTAGGGCTACCCTGAAAAAAGTCGCAGAATGGTGACAGAAACGTCGGCAGCTGTGCCTTGGTCGCGGTATCTCCCGGACAGCCAAGTACATACTGACTCTGGTCGCGGAAGCTAACGCTCCTACTACTAGGAATTTTTCTGAAATAAATATTAACCAGTTGGCTTGATTGTAGGCCCTGCGATTTTCAGAATAATTTTTTGAATTTTGCAGCTACTTTGCATGAAGATGGACGAAACGTTTTCGAAATTTCCTCAAAAATAGCTCCTATTTTTTTGTTTATATTTCTTGGCAGAATACCACACAGAGATTCATTTATGAAGATGACGTAGGGTCAATTTTCACTATTAGTTCTGGATTTCCAAAAAGTTCAAATTTTTTGGACTCCCTAGCACATATTTTGTATGTATCGTTAAACACTATTAGTTATAATTTCACGAGTAAAGTAGTCACTTTAATTTATATTTATTATCCTTTTTATTTATTATTTATATTTATTATGCTTTACGTAGCTTCAATATTGTAACTAGGAAGACGCCGTCAATAAGTTTTGAACGTTTGCAAATTTCAGAAAATCTCGGATTTCAGCGACAATGAAACTTGTACCATTCTTTTAAGCGTTCTTTTTCATATTCGAGGATAAAGTTTAATAAAAGAAATTTGAACCATTTTTAATAAAATTTTGTTGTGGTATCCCTTCCCCCCCAAGTATCAATTTCAATCTCACAAGGCATTTAAATCGGTCGGGGAATATCAATATTGAAGGAAATCTTGTTAACGATTTAGGCGTAAGCGTTGTCCAACGACAGACACTACACACAGACAAAAAGACAGACGTTTTGCCGTAATAGGTTTTCGGTATTTGGGACCCTTAAAACATGACTTGTCACACAACGTGTTAGAGGAAGTATCATACAACACAAAAAGTAACAATATTTATCAACTTTTTCTTTACCACGGTCCAGCAACTAGTGTTGCGGTCAAAAAAATTCCGTTTTTCGTCGTAGAGTTACTACTGCGTAAGCAGTACGCGACGACGTATGAAACTAATGGTGTTTAACACATTTTCTCCCATTTTTTACAAATTTGAAAGTTTTGAAAATTAAGAAATTTTAATGAAAATGTGGCCTGCGTTATAAGCCTTTTAAGCGTCCCTTGTTCTATCCGTAGAATAAAATTGAAGAAAAAATGTGAAATGTTCATTGAAAAAACGTTTCTTTACAATTTGCATTAACGTCAAGCCGAAATTACGCAACAACTCATTTTTTCAGAACCATTGTTCACGATCTTTTGTAAAGATCTGATTTTTTCGAACAGATTTTGTTTAAATCGAAAATCTCTATCTCCAACATGCACTTTTGCAATGTTAAATTGTTGCGCTTTTCGAAAATAAAGAGTTCCACGTAAATGAGACCAGCACCATCCTTAATACAATTCTTTGATACATACGATGAGAAAATTTAAAGAAGAATTTGAAGCATTTTTGTTGTTGTTGTTTACCATACTATTTTCATATATATATCTTTTAGACAGAGATTGTTAAATGTTAAAAATTTCAAAAAAGTAGCCAAATCATTGTTATTTAATTATAAACTTTCATCATTTACAAATAAAAATTTTTAAATGAATCTCAACATATACCTAGTATTATTTATTATCTATTCTTGAGTAGTACATAGATTTATAATTCATAATGTCATGATAAATTGTTTTCAAAAAAACTGACACCCTAAGCGGGTAATTGAAACCCGGCACAGCATGAGAAACGCAACATTATAGATAGCTGCATTTGGCGTCGAGGGCCATATTTGCGCAGCCGGCAGACGCAGCAAGGTGCGGCCGCACTCGTGGGCTTCCAAGCGCGCGCGCCGCCGCGGAGGGTAAGCGCCTTAGCGCGGGTTCGCACTCCGGCAGCGCCGCCCGCGCTGCCAATGAATCACCGGATGAATCCCGTAAGGCCGGCGAAAGGGCCGGCGTCCGCCCGCCCGCTGCTGCACGCGCTCCGCGGTCGCACTCGCTCAGGCTTACACCGCGCCCGCGATTTGTCACCACCTTACGTGCAAGGAAACCTCCGGACGGCCGTAAGCCCTGTTCTCGGTGCCGCACACGTGCTTTATATTGCGAGTTTGGAGTTCAGGAGTAAGTACCGGAAAAGGTGGCTCAGGGCATGCCACTGTGGTGTCTCGGACCAGGAAGGCTTAGGGTTCGAGTCCCGTCGGTGGCAGGATTTTCTACACTAGCTTGTCAGCTAGTTCGAGTTCAACCGCTGTCTGGGTGAAAAATGTAGCTGCCGGTTGATCTCGTCGGTTCTTTAACGTTGGTTCTCCGATCAACAGTAGGAAAATGCCCGACCAGAACCCTAACAAACGGGCCACGGACCGCGCGCGATATTTCCTTCCTCTTCCTTCTCCTCCTCCTCCCCTTACTTACACGCACTGCATTACCACACATATCAGTAGACCAGTAAGGAGCGTAGAGCCCGTCACGGCTGGGGCCTGCCCCGCTCGTCGGAAGTAGTTGGTATGGGAACATCGCTTCAAGCCTACGTAAGTAGGCGCTGGATCTCGCCAGCAAGCGGGAAAGATCGTCGCTACCTCCAACGATTAAAACACGCACTAAACTTACGGGATTAACGATCTTAGTAGTTCTCGCGACCGGAATCACCAACCAATGAGTCAATCAAACAATCTAAAGTAAGTGCAATTTTATGGTTATGAGTAGTGTGAACAATCAGAAACATTTTAGAATATTAATATCATTGATCGGATTTCAACTGGCTAGTTTTGATTCATTTTATACTACTTGTTTTCTTGTACGTTTACCACTGTGTGGAAGAACTAGAATTTGTCAAAAAATGTGCACATTTTTTAAAAGTATTGCGTAATTATATGAATTTCTTACAGTGTTTTAAAATACGTAATAAGTGTATAATTCAGGTTCTTCACGAAACGAAGTGGCTAAAAGACTGCATATTTTAATTCATTTCCTCGTTTGGCCAATTTTGATGTAAATGAGTAGACAACCATGAAGTAAAGAGTACTTAAATGTAAATTGAATGTCAGAGCCAAAAGCAAAAATAGTGCTGTGAGAACGTCTATGCAACTTGCTCCTTGGTTCTTTCCTGAGAACTATTTTTTACTGTGAGAATTATGTGGTTAGTTAAGCCTCTCAGTTTTTCATACTAACATGCATGCTCACGACATTTTGCACAGTGAAATTCACTTACCCATTTTTAACTACGCATGTAATCCATAGCTTTATATATCCAACATTTTGTCTGTCGACCTACCACCTTAGATTTACGGTGAAGTTACGTAAAACTATTGTAAGTTCGTGAAGTCACTAAAAATTACATGAACTGCAATACTAAGTAAAACAATTATGAAATTTAATCCATTATTTCACTATAAACACATAAATTACTTAATCAAAAATCAATAAGAGACAACCACCATGATTGTAAGAGAGGGCAAGAATTATACAAATATGTAAATAAGTTTGTTTTGGCAGAAAAGGTATTAGGAATTGTTTTTCATTTTCTTTACCTCATTGTCTCGGGTAGGTTTCAGACAATATTTTTTTCAAATTAATCGAGTACCAAAAGTTTATTTACAGCTAATCTAATCTAATCGTATCTAAATAATTTGTGTTAATTAAAAATCTCATTATAAAAGGTAAAATTTTAAATGTTTTTGTTGTATCTTTGTATCGTTGCTGACATATTGACCCTGAATTTTGATTATTGGTCTCCGCAATGTGTTCAGAAAAAAAAATTACTAATTGTGCGAATTTTATGTACAAAAACCTTCTTGTCTAGAATTTGTGTAGCTTTTACCACAGGAGGGGATATAGTATGCATATCACGTGCACGACGTGATTCTAGCTACAACTTAACTTAACTCACAATATTATAACGCTTCAAATAAAGTATTTTGTTGAATGTAACACAGATATTTAGAAACGTTTTATATAAAAGAATTTTTGGCTTTATTAGCACTAGAAAATCCTTACTTAATAGATTTTAAAACATGTTAGAAAATGAGGACACATTTACATAATACGAATAAAATATTAATTACGTAGTAATAGGGCACATAGAACAACCCTACGTAGTGTATGAAAACATAATATAATTATACCCATTGTATAAACTTCAATATGCATTTGC